CAATGTCGTCCACCCATTGGAATATCCAAAAGGGTTTTTCGTATCCTTGAACCCTGGAAGAACCCGTTCTTTGGTAGTGTCGGACCGCCTTTCCGAAGACAGCGGCAACAAATTGGTGACGATGTCCAACCGAACACGGCCATGCCGGAAACAATGCCATGGGTAGAGCGGGGTAGCCCCCCCCCCCAAAAGCTGATGCATGACGAGCATGAACTGGTACATGATGGAAGGCATCAGCGATATCCGCAACCGTGGCATAGATGGCACATCTGGGTGTCGGCGACGGAGGTCACAAATACGAAGCGCGATTGAGACAAATGGGTCCCAAGTTGCATCTGGAGAAGCTGACGAATCGGTGTGGTCATTGAAGGAGCGGCCTAAGGGGGCGGATACTTCGTGGATGATCCGACCGTCCACGTGAAGGGGTTTGTCCTTCTTTGGTACTAGGGCAAAGGAGCTTGAGTGAAACCCAGGGTTAGTTTGGAGCATATCTAGAGACGCAATGAGGCAACGGCCTTTGTAGTAATCCGCAAGCAGTTTGTCGATCACGATGGATGCACCGGTTACTGCGCCAATGTAATTGTCCGGTACTGGGCAAACACCCCGGCGACCAACTGGGTCGATCCGTGGGGGGATCACGCCATGCTCAGCGATGTCACACAGGGGTGGGAGCTGGGGGTACGAGGCTAGCTGGGCCCGGTATAACCACGGTCTCAAAGCTTTGTTTGGTCGGCCATCATCGGCGGTCTGGGCGCAGAAAATTTCGAGCGTCCCTGCTATGCCAAGCTCTGGGACGGCAATAAGGGCGTCCAGGATGCTCGCATCCACCACTGGTACAGACAGCGGACCTGATCTGGCCGCGAGAAAGGCAACGTCGGTCGGGAAAGACACGTCAGGGCGTGCAGCCACCGCTTTGAGGCGCAGGAAGACGTCCTCTGGGACGCAGCGCAAAGCACCATCAACCATGCAAGGACGTGTGGCCCTTGTGGCAGACTCCGACGGAAGGTCACGCGCAGACGTGCTGACCCGAGCGGGATTTGGTCGGCTAGAAACAGGTGGATGACCCGGTAGGCTGGGTAAAGGTGGAGCAAAGCGCTTCTTGATAAGATGTGCCACAGTGGCGAACTCCTGGAAAACCAGTGACTAGGTGGCGACGGCATGAGCATGCAAATCAGCGACTGCTGGCTGGGTCGGAGGTATGAACGGTAATGAAAGTGCCGAACGGTTAGCAGGGGGATAACATGGAGGACACGACCACATATCACCACGAAGGACCTGGTCCGTAGCAGGTGGTACGATATCCATGGTCCAGTTGCACAGAGCATCCGCCGCGCCGTTGTGTCCCCGACGCACGTGTCTCAAATAAATGAGAAGCATGCCCGCCCCCAAGGATCGAATAGATGCAACCCATGGTCAAAGACGAGACGACGGGCAGGAGTACAAGCCCAGGGCCTGATGAACGATGAGACTCGAGCCGCCAAACACGTGAAATATTCCGATGGGGAAAGTAGACTTGAGCCATTGTAGACAGGCTAGAAGACCCTGGGCCTCCATGACATTGTTCGTTTGAGCCTCAGCGAACGCTCGCGCTTCTCACTGAAGAAGGCGAGACGACGTCGACCAAATGCACCACGCGTAGGCACTGCGACCCGAGGACCTCCATCGAAGGCGGCAACGAAGACTGGCCCCGCAAATCCGGTCCTTTGCATCGCGTTGGCATGATAATGGTTCGGAGCGGTGGTCGCAAAGGTCAAGGCGTGAGACGCATGTGGAGACGATAAGCACGCATACGACACCGCGTCAGACACTGGTGGCATTATGGCCTGTACACCAGGCGCAAGTCCCGATGGATACGCAGACGACGCATTGACAGACACTGATGGCGTCGCAGCTTGTGCGCCAGGCGCAAGAAGTGCCGATGGACACGCATACGACGCAGTGTCAGACACTGATGTCATTGCAGCTTGTGCGCCAGGCGCAAGAAGAGCCGATCGACACGCATACGACGCAGTGTCATACACCGATGGCATCGCAGGCTGTGCACCAGGTGCAAGAAGTGTCGATGGATACGTAGACGACGCAGTGTCAGACACCGATGGCATCGCAGCTTGTGCTTCATCCGTAAGAAGCTCCGACGGACATGCATATGACGCAGTGCTGGACATTGATGGCGAGGGTGCGTAGGGCGCATCGTTAACGTCTGACGCAGAGGATAACACGGAAGGTAAATCAAACACCATAGTCGTATTAGTACGGAAAATACGTTGTGATGTCTGGCATCCTTCCCAGCCCCTTCACTCGCGCTGTGGATGACCTTCTTTGAGAGCTCCATCGTGGGATGTAACCCACTGAAGAACGTCCGGCGGAAGCTGGCGGAGCACATGGGCATGGCGGCAATGCGGGAACGAGCAGTCCGATGCTGCCTGGAAACGGACACACACCTGTGTGCCATAAGCCTGTGAGATCTGTGCTCGCGTTGCCGGCGGGATCACTGTAGACTCGGTGGTGCTCCTGGCGCCTTGGGTCCGGGAATTTCCTGCGCGACGACGCCGTTGCTGATCAGTTCCAGCACGTTGAGTGTCGGAACGAGACGGACCTGGTCCTTCGAAGACGGAGCGAAAAACAGCGTTGTGAAGCACCTGGTGCACGTATCGCTGATGCTCAGGAGAGTCACGACTGAGTACTCTGAGTGCACGAGTGTTCAAGTCGCGACAGTCCACACCGGTAAAGGTATCCGTGAGAAGTTTACTAAGCACTACCTGGTAAAAGTTGCACCACGCGTGCACAACTTGCGCCCGGGGCATCACATCATGAGCAGCATCGCCGTGAACGGTACAGAATACCGCCGCCAGATCGACTGGATACCACAGCGTTGCCGTGGAGGACATGCTGGAGTTTATCCGCCCGGCGAATCTGAAGGGGAGGTCCAGGTTCGGCGCCACCCCATTGCGAGTCATCATGAACGACGATGCGGTCCTGCTGGAACGTCTCAGAGTCATCTGAGGATAGGAAGTGGTCGATGGGTCGATTGCCAAAATTAACAGCGAACAGCATCTTGGTAGTGACTTTCGACACTCGGTATCGGCTGCGAAAACGCTCGCGTTGGAGCATGGAGCCGACCTGGTCGTGCATCGACATGTCAAGAAACCGGTAGAACTCATCCGTACCTTGGGAGGACTGGTCGAAACGAGGCCCAACGCGTGCAATGTTATGCACTGTAGCTTCATTCTCCGATGGACGAAAGAGGCTGTTACCAGCTGGTCGATGTCCCAGGGGCGAGCGGCCGCGAGAACGTGAGCGACGAGCGCGTGGTCGTGAGCGAGAGCACCGACCTCTCAGAGAGAACGGAGAGTGCCGACGCCGGACACGATCGTGGGGAGAACGGCTCCGAGACCACCGCCGAGCAACAGGAGGCGACCGGGAGCGAGAGCGGGAACGAACACGCCTGACGTGCCTATGGGAGCGAGGAGGCGAACGGGAACGGGAGCGATTCCGGTGAAAGGAACGTGAACGTGGGCGGTTACGGACAGGAGCCACGTTAGACTGACCATACGCCACCAGCTCGTCGTGGTTAGTAAAAAAATCTTCTGGCAGCCAGGCTGCGTCTTCGTGGAGCAGTGTGCCTGATGCTCTGAGCTTGGGCGCGCTGGAGCTTGAGCTCTGGCGTGTCAAACGGTGAATGGCCGGGAGAATTCTTCGCTCTCTTCCGGTTCGGAAACTCACGGTTCAGACCGGCTCCGCTCGTACTTAACCGAGCACTATCCCACACCGGAAATTTTCGTATATTTCAAAGGCTGAAATGAATAAATGACCAATTATGATTGGTGCTACCTAATTGCAAAACTGCTAGAAAAACAATGTGTACAAGACTAAAATATACTCTTAAATTAGCATGGTTTTGGCTCATTGAGTTTTCGCACGTACGCTAACGTGCTAAGATTCATTTCATTTGAGGCCGTGCTTGGAAAAAAAATGGCTAGTGAGCTAAAGCCAGAGAGTCGGACTGCTGAGAAGCTCGTAGAGTACTTGTGGCGTTCGTTGCAGGTGACCCACGTGGCCACCGCCTCGGTTTGACAGACCTCGACAGCATCGGGTGTGGTTTTGTGTGTACAGTTAGCAGGTTCCGGTGAGATCCCGAGCCATTCTCTGAGCTTTGCATGGAAGCCTTTCATAATGGAATCAAATTCTAAAAGGTTAACACCAGCCCAAAATTGGTGACATTATTAGTCCAGCAGCGCACAAATCGCTGCTTGTTTTAGTCACCGATTGGAGTGTATTTGCTCTGCAGCGCACAAATCGCTGCTTGTTTTAGTCACCGATTGGAGTGTACGTAGTATTTGCTGTAATGGAGCACAGCAGATCAAAATTAAATATACCTTTCAAAATGAGAACACAGCAAAATTCCTTACAAAAAGTAGGGATATTATAGAAGAAACGAAACAAGAGTTTAATTTTAGCAGATAAAAGATAATTTTCGATAATCTGAGCCACTGCCCAAGAAGCTCTCCTCTTTCATAGAGCTAACCTTGCTGGTTGTCCAACCGAAACATTCTTTACATGTGATGGATGCCTGTACGATAGCTTGCAATTCTTGCCGACAAGGTGCCTACAAGAATTGTAGCGGTTAAGCAATCCCAAGGTAACCTGATACGGTGACGTTGCTGGTTGTCCAACCCAAAATGATCTTCACATATGATGGATGCCATACTTATTTGTCCGCTTACTTGCAGTTCTTGCCGACAAGGTGCCTACAAGAATTGTAGCGGTTAAGCAATCCCTAGGTTACATGTATTAAAGTCAGTACCCGGAACTGAACATGTACGGTCACTGTACAATGGTGACGAGTTTACAAAGTAAAATGTTGATGCATGCTGCTCTATTACTGTATTAGAGTACGCCCCCCCCCTCCCTTCAATGATTGAATTTCAAAATGATGCAAGACCTCATTACGGAATTCACCACCATCTACCCACACCTCAAGAGGCAACAACCCAAACATCATGGCTTCTGCCAACAACTCCAAGTCTAACCGCATGACCTACCGCTTCCTCGGCAATTCCGGCCTGCTCGTCTCCAAACTCTCACTGGGCAGCTGGATGGACGTCAGCGACAAGTACACACCAGAGACCTGGTACGAAATGATGAAGCTGGCCTTCGAAAACGGCATCAATTTCTTCGACAACGCTGAGTTGTATGGCGAAGGCCTCGCCGAGAAGAATATGGGAGCTGCTATCAAGAAGGGTATCGCGGAAGGAACCTGGAGTCGTGAGGACCTCGTCATCACCACCAAGATCTTCTGGGGAGCCAAAGACTTCATGGCGAAACGAGGCCCCAATGAGATGGGCTTGAGCCGCAAGCACATCGTCGAGGGCACGAAGGCTTCTCTTAAGAGGTTGGAGCTGGAGTATGTTGATGTCATCTTTTGCCACCGACCCGATCGCTACACGCCTATCGAGGAAACTGTCCGAGCGATGAATTTCGTCATCAACCAAGGTTGGGCCTTCTATTGGGGTACCAGCCAATGGAGCGCTGCTGAGATCATTGAAGCGTGCGAGATTGCCGACCGCCTTGGTCTGGTCCGTCCCATCGTGGAGCAGACCATTTATAGTATCTTGGATCGCAACAAAGTGGAGTTCGAGTATGTCGACCTGTACAAGAAGTACAAGCTCGGTCTCACGACCTGGTCGCCTCTTGCATATGAAATTCTGACAGGCAAGCACAGCTCTGGTCCGACCGAGGGCTCCCGTATGGATACTCTGTTATTCAAGTGGGCCACCCCGGATTTCGCGGAGCGCGTGGCCAAGGCGGATGTAGTGGGTGGCGGCTTGAAAGCCCAACCACGACCACAGTATACAGTCGAGAGTGACGAGCAAGCTTGGACAACCAGCATGTGGTTGCAGTCAGCCACCAGCGTGCCAGGTTGTTGCAGTTTACAACTGCAAGTTGCAGCTCGTCATCTCAAGCTGGTGAAGGTTCTAGTTAGGGAGTCCTTGCTAGAGGCTGGGCTATCACTGGGACGCTGGTGATAGCTATGTAGAGCTTTGGATTGCATGCATGTTTCTATTTCACTTTACATTTTACCAAGACACAAGCAATACAATCGGCTATACTTTAAGGAAGTGCCAGCTTCCTTCGACCGTCTTGTATTCACTACTGCGACCTACTACAAAGAATTCTTTAGCAGTGCTAAGGTCAAGATGACGATATCGACAAGGAGTACTTCGACGACACCAGGGACTTCAACAACGACGCAAAGTCCATCGGGTAACGACTCGTCTACGGTTCCGGTGGCACTGTTTATGCCGCTGGCTGCTCCCCAACTGAGGAGCACGTCTCATGCTGCTCTAATACAGTGGCGGAAACTTCGCCGCGAGTACGAAGACGAAGTAACGATGAGATGCAAGAACGACGCTGAAAAAATGGCTGAGGTGCTGGTCAGCGTCAAGAAGTCCTTCAATAAGCGACTTCTTGAAGTTTGGTGCGAATTTGACTGGGAGGTGGACATTGACACGGTTACCAACGAGTTCATTATCACCAAGGTGGACGAAATCATATCGTCCGTCAAAAACAATACCGTACCAGATGTTGCTACTCTGTTCAAAGAAAATGTAAAAATGGATTTGACAGAAAGCGATGTCAGGGAGCGGGTGATGCAGTTTTTTGCGAAGAGCCGCGAGTTCATCGAGGAACAGGGCTGGCAGGAGTTCTTCACAGGCAACGAGGGAAAGCGGTTAAAGTGCAAGCTGCTCGTCGAATCTCTCGAGCTCCGCAGTCTCCGCGAGGAGATTACTACTACCATCAAATACCAAGCAAGGATTGCCAAGGAGAGTGAAAAAGAGCTTTTTAAGCTCATCCTGAACAAGGCCTTTGAGCAAGACCGGGACTTCCAACGCCGAAAGCGCTCTCGTTCTTCAACTCAGTTTGAGCGAACAAAGAAAACCAACGGAACCAAATAGCATACCGAGCCAAGGGCGAAGTACCGTAGGGTTGAGCGTGGTGGTAAGAAGGCTGGTGGCGGTGACGCTAAGCATGGACAGCATAAAAACGGCAAAGGCACGGGTTCTAGTCCACCAACCGGAGGTTGCTTGCACTGCAAGGGTGATCACTGGCTGGTACACTGTCCGGATGCATCTGCAGACATGAAGAAAGAGCTACTGAAGAAGATGCACGACCGCCGTGATCGCAATAAGGCCCCGAAAAGGGCCGAAAGCGATGCCTGAAGGTTAAAGCGCATTAAGGATTGCCTTTTAAGACACGACAAAACAATTGTTGTTGAAGGAAGGTTGTCCATGTCCTACTGCGCTGACACCGGGGCGGAAAGGAGCATAATCAGTGCTCAAAAATTGCAAGAACTGGAGAAGTTGGGTGGTACTGTGAGAACGACTATACTACCTCGCCCGATTTTCTGTGAGACTGTTGGCAAGTTCCAGATTGTGACGAAACACTCTGTACTCTTGCATGTGATGCTTTATACTGCCGCTGGACCAGTAAGACCTGTGAAGCCCTATGAAGTGCTGGTGATTGAGTCTGACGAGGATGAATTCATTTTGGGTGAGGACATTTTGAAGGACCTTGGTATCAGTATAGACAGGCAGTTGGAGCAACTGGCGGAAAGGAGTGCGATGGACGATGACGATCCAATTCCTTTTGAAGATGATTTCCTGTTTGGAGTTGTTCCGGACGATGACGTTCGGCGAGCAGTGGAGAATATGATCGCGAAGGCCATCGATAATGGATTTCCGTTGGAGAAGGTGGACAGATTGCGGACGATTGTGTACATGTTCGATGTGTGGAGGTTAAAGCTGGGTCCAGATCCCCCTGCTAAGGTCCCTCCACGAGAACTACGCTTACGAAAGGGAGCAAAACCTTTCCGGTGTAAGCCGAGGCAATATCCGCCGCACCTTCGCAAATTCTTGCAGGAATTCAGCGACGAGCTAGTTAAACTTGGTTGGGTGTATGAAAACGCATCAAGTCGGTGGGCATGCCCGGCGCTGCCCGACAAGAAGCCAGGCAAGGACAAATACCGTCAAACCAGCGACTACCGGCCCGCCAATGCTGAAACCGAGCCAATCGCTGGCGTCATGCCTATTCTACAGGTTATTACTGAGCATGTTCGCGACATGAAGTACTTTGGACTTTTTGACTTTATAAAAGGCTTTTGGCAGTTGCCATTAGCCAAAGCATGTCAAGAAATCTTAAGCTACATGACTGATGCAAAAGTATTTACGCCAACCAGAGTTCCTCAAGGCTGTAGTGATGCAGCACTTCATTTTCAGATGACTATGGAGAAGTGTTTCGAGAAATTACTCCATAAGCACTTGCTTATCTGGATTGATGATCTCCTGCTTTATGCAGGCGACGTGGTTACTTATCTGGATAAATTAGAAGAGCTTTTCAGTTTGATGAATGAATTTGGCCTGAAGCTTAGTGCAGCGAAGTCAAGTCTCTTTCAGCGCTCTGTGAAGTGGTGCGGGAAGATAATTGACGGTGAAGGTGTACGACACGACCCGGAACGCATCGCTGCACTACGTGAGATGCCACTGCCCACCACCGCCGGAGAATTGCAACAATTTCTCTGTGCCTGTAACTGGATGAGAGATAGTCTGATTAACTATGCGGGCCATGTTAGAACTCTCCAGAAGCGGCTCGATGAAACTCTGAAAGGTGGAAAACGGACAAAACGAGCTGCAGCCCGGCTACCAGTGACCCTCAACGATGTGGAAAAAGCTGCTTTTGATCAAGTAAAGGACTGTTTGGCCTCTGCGGCTAAGTTGGCTCACCCCAGTGCCGATGGTCAGCTTTCAGTGTTCACTGACGCCTCGGACACGGCCTGGAGCGTGATTGTGACCGACGTGCATGATTGGGAGACCGAGAAACCTGTTAACGAACAGCGTCACCAACGCTTACACTGTCTAAGTGGGACTTTCTCGGGATCGCAAGCAAATTGGAGTGTGATCGAAAAAGAAGCATTTGCAATTGTGGCAGCTTGTGACAAGTTGCCGTACCTGCTTCTCCGACCTGCGGGATTTTGATTATACTGCGACCACAAGAATCTGATTCACGTTTTCGCCCCTGATGCTACGGTAAAAAAAACATATTCGAGGGAAACTATTGCGGTGGGCTATGAAGCTCGGTGAGTTCAGATACGAAATCCATCACATTGCTGGCGAAGATAACGGTTGGGCTGACATGGTTTCAAGGTGGGCTCGAATGCCAACTACGACTCGTGAAAAGAGAGTGAGTACTCGCCGGCAGCAACAGAACGAGCGTTTAATACTTCGGCCACTTGATGATACCGGTTTCGTGTGGCCTACCTTAGAGGCTATTGAGAGTGCACAACGGCGGTTTGGGACGACTGCAGAACGTACTGACCTCAACGACGATGCCGATGGCATCTGGCACAAGGATGAGAGACTATGGATACCAGTCAACGCTACTGATCTGCGTCGACGCTTGTGCATCATCGCACACTGCGGCCCGCAGGGTCACAGAGGTCGAGACGCAATGATGGCACATATCGGCCGACTCTTCCACGTACCGCAACTTCGTCAGTGTGTTGAGAGATTCTTGTCAAGCTGCCTCCTCTGCCATCACGTGAAGGGGGGGGAGGTAGTGCTGAGGCCCTGGAGTGAAACATACCGCTGCAATGAAAGAAACCAAGCGTTGCACTGGGATTTTCTGTATTTAGGGAAAGCTTATGGTGACAACAGTATCTATTGGTACTAAAAGATGACGCTAGTCACTATCGTGAACTCGTGAAGTGTGAAACCCCTACAAGTACGATTGCTGCTGATGCAATCATGGATTGGCACAGTAGATTTGGGATCCCTCACGACTGGATCAGCGACCAAGGTACACACTTCAAGAACGAAGTGATCTAGGAGCTGTGTACCAGACTAAAGTGCAAGCAGATTTTTCGCCTACTTACAGCCCATGGATCAACGGGTCAGTGGAACGAGTGAACAGAGATATTCTTCAAGTTTTACGAGCTCTCATCCTGGACTACAAGCTCAGCCATAGAGACTGGCCAAGATTAATACCTATCGTGCAAGCTAGCCTAAATCATACTGCCGTGCCGTCACTGGCAGGCAAGACGCCTGGTGAATTGCTTACCGGCTTGGAGCCCCCATCACCACTACAGGCGGTATACCTGGGACCAGAGGTGGATCCCAGTGTACAGCCAACTCGAACCTCAGCCGAGATCGATTCGAGCCTGAATGAACTAAGAGTTAGTATTCGGGAGATGCACAAGGCAGTTGAAGACGCCCGTCTCAAGCAGACTTTACTGAACAAGAAAAAGGAGCGAGGTGATAACATCATCAACTTCAACGTAGGTGACTATGTACTGCGTTTTCGTGTGGACGAGAAAGGCCAGATCAAACTGCTCGTTACATGGATCGGCCCCTACGCAGTTACTGCAGCTCTACCCTACGATGTGTTCAAGGTGAAGCACCTTGTATCAGGCTCGGAACTTGATGTGCACGCCTCGAGGCTCAAGTTTTTCGCCGATAAGGATTTGGAGGTGACCGAAGAGCTGTTGGAGCACGTGGCCGCTCAGGGCATCATCCTTCGTGTGCGTGAGCTACGTCGACACCGCTGGAACGACCGGAGCCGGTCCTACGAAATCCTAGTTGGGTGGCATGGGCTAGAGACAATAGAGGACTCGTGGGAGCCTCTAGTATCACTGCACAAGGACGTGAGTACGTTAGTGCAAGGATATGTTGCTACAGCCAAAGACTAAAAGCTTGAGCGCCACCTCAAAGCACTAGAAGCGCCAAAAAAGCGGCGCTTAAGCTTTACGTGTATACATGTATACCCCTCAGTATAACGACTATACTTTAACTGAATTGAGGTTTACCCTTGGTATTGTGGTTGTTTTGGTCATTTTCTGTTGGATTTGCATGGCAAGGAAGACTTCAGCTGCAATATGTTGAAGTTGGTCACATAAAGCAGACCGCGTGATTAGTCATATGATTAGTCACATGGTTATTCATGATGATTACCGAGCGGTAATTGGTCTGTAATAAAATGAGTACAAGCACAATTTGCCCGAGTGGTCAGGTTGGGCTTGAAAGGGGACTGTAGTGGGTGGCGGCTTGAAAGTCCGACCACGACCACACTATACAGTCGAGAGTGACGAGCAAGCTGGACAACCAGCATGTGGTTGCAGTCAGCCACCAGCGTGCCAGGTTGTTGCAGTTTACAACTGCAAGGTGCAGCTCGTCATCTCAAGCTGGTGAAGGTTCTAGTTAGGGAGTCCTTGCTAGAGGCTGGGCTATCACTGGGACGCTGGTGATAGCTATGTAGAGCTTTGGATTGCATGCATGTTTCTATTTCACTTTACATTTTACCAAGACACAAGCAATACAATCGGCTATACTTTAAGGAAGTGCCAGCTTCCTTCGACCGTCTTGTATTCACTACTGCGACCTACTACAGCGGACAAGCTCAAACCACTCGCTGAGAAGCTCGGTATCTCCATGGTGGAGCTGGCTCTTGCCTGGTGCGTCAGTAACGAGAACGTGTCGACTGTCATGATTGGCGCCAAGACCCCATCGCAGCTGGAGCAGAATCTTAAGGCTGTGGCGTTGGAGAAGATCACCCCTGAGGTGAAGGCGGAGATCGAAGCGCTAATTCCGTTTGTACCGGAACTGTCGACGCCAGACGAAGGTGATTTGAGACGTGCGGAGCTCCTGTAAGAAGGCTAGTTTGGCAACTTATTGGCGGATACCATGCCATTATAGCTTAGCCTTTTTCGACTAGCTCGTCATTGAACAGGTATTTCACTTAGCCTGAGATAGAACGACAAATAATATGGCAACAAGCTTGCATTGGCTGGTATTTTCCGGACACACGAGCAGCGTAGTACTCGCTTTACATTATTGATAAACACACAAAAATCCGGGTATGACGGTAAGTATCCAGTGGTAAAATTATTGAGTGAAAGGAAGCTAGAAAAAGTAAATTAAAAAAATGTTTTTACTTCCTAAAGCATTTTAAAAGATTAAAATGATTGTGAAAAAGCAAATGTTTCTAACCTTTTTAAAATACGCAGTATTTGCACCATTAAAAACATTCCTCCATGGAGCTGTACCAGGAAGATTCATCGGCGTACTGGAAGGGGCTATGGCACGGTATGCTGCTGCTGCTACCTGTGCTTACCTTTCTCTTTCGTAAGTGGAAGATGGCTGCTGAGCGATCGGCGGTGCAACAGCCAGTTCTCGGGTACGAATGTCATTATTGCATTGCTGTTTTGGGAGGCCGCGTTGCTTTGACTGATGTACTGTTTTATATATCTACAGGACGTACGTGCCTAAGCATTTGTGTGCATAAGGTTACATGCTCTGCGATGTCATAGTGATGTTTTTTTTGGTGCAGGTCCTTTATGAATGAGTTGTTTGCATTTGAGGTGGTTTTGGTCGCTGGTGCGGAGTTGAAAGCGGTGCGTGACCAGCTCAAGGCTGCTGAGGAGGCAACGCCGGTAAACGTCAAAAAGGTGCAGGCCCTCAAGGAGCGTGTGGTGGACGTCGCCACCGTGCTACAGAAGAAGCTGGAGACTATTACGCCGATCGTGTCATTCCTGCTGGAGCAGAGCGTGGGCGTTATCAAGGATCACCACGCCGAAAACGACTCCAAAAAGGACAAGTAGAAAGACTGTAGAGCTATCGTTCTACTAGTAAACTCATTCATGTTGCTACTGCTAGTAGTACCGGTATACTACGTTGTACATAACTATTAACTACTACCTCCGCTCGGAAAAAGATAACCATTTGTTTTTTTTTGCGCAGCGCTCCGCCTCGTGTTTATTAATTTGTGAGAGGCAGGCTAGCTAGCTTTATGACCGAGAGCTGACAGTGAGAAACTAACAAGGCACAGGCGTTCATGCTCCGCCGTGTAACTACAGATACAAAAACGGATCTAAGCATCGCCACATTCTGAAGGGGCGCTCAGTGGGGCTTCTGAAACTTTAGCGGTAGGCGGTGGGGGGCTGCTCGCTGCAAGAAGCAGCATGTACGCGTTAGCATTGGCGAGTGAGATAGCGTCACAAGGCAGTGACTTAGGGAGAGTGCCAGCTCGTACTTGCTTGTCCTCGTGCCGGAGGCGCGCAAACTTGTGCGTGGGTGCAAGTAGTGGACGGGTCTGTCTGAGCGCACGCCGTATGTAGCCTTCCTTGATCAGCTGCTGAACCAGGTAGTAGCTCATGTTCGACGCGCGCTGAAGCAGACGCTGGTTTTCGCGCTCATTGACAGGAACTGCGGCGATTCTCTCGCACAGCTCAGCTCGATCCACCTTCTTCTTACCACATGCGCTCTTCCTTGACTTGACCACGGCTGCTACTCGATCTCCCATCGAATTGATTCCACGCCTCCAAATTCGTTCGACAACTTGGCGGCCCACACGGAAGTACGCTGCAACCCGAACGATCTCTCCATGTTTGACCACTTCTCCCACGCTGCGAAGCAGCAAGGTCTCCCAGACGGCCTGGCGCTCACTGTCTGTGATCTCCCCCGCTAGCTTTCAAAATGAAAGCTGGGAGCGGGAGCCAGAAAGCGCGGGAGATTCGAAATCCAAAAAAGGATCGGCTTAGAGAGGGTATTTTGTTGGGTAGGCTGTAATATAATTCGAAATGGTTATCTTTTTCCGAGCGGAGGTAGTAGTACACTACATAGTAGTACTACATGTACTACTTCAAAGAATACTATAGAAGTCGCAATAGCTTTTTTTGTATTGAAGCCACTCAGGGTCGACACCTACGCACCGTAGCGTCGCCCCGACGCTCTCCCCAAGTCACTATCTCTACAAATCAAGAAGGTCGACACCGTCGCACCGTAGCGCTTCAGATCCACGCTTTCCTCCCTCGCTAAACCAAGTTACGCTTCTACAAATCGTCCTTTGAGCTTGTTCAAAGCAGAGGTCACTGTCGAGCAGATTTTAACCCGAAAAGTTTTACTTCTTGATAGCGGTCTTGGCCAGGAAGTCAGTGTGCTCCTGGTACGGCGAAGGGCCGAACGTGTGCTGCTCCCAGAGGTCCGGGGTCAGGTACGAGTAGGTGGCACGCAGAGCGTAGAAGGTAGCCTTGACGAAGTTACCCAGGGTACGCGTGTGGCCACGGGCCGAGGTGTAGCAGTCCTCAATACCGGCCATACCCAGAAGCTTCTTGGGCACGGGGGCGGCACACAGACCGGTACCACGGGGAGCCGGAATAAGACGCACGCGGACGGAACCACACTTGCCCGTCACCTTGTTGGGCACGGTGTGCGGGGCACCGACCATACGGCCCCAGTAGCCACGACGCACGGGCACCAGGGAGATCTTGGCAAGGATGATAGCGCCACGGATGGCAGTGGCAACTTCCTTAGCGCACTTGACACCAAGACCGATGTGGCCGTTGTTGTCGCCCACACCCACGAAGGCCTTGAAGCGCGTACGCTGACCGGCGGTGGTCTGCTTCTGCACGGGCATGATCTTCATGACCTCGTCCTTGAGCGAGGCCTCAAGGAAGTAGTTGACGATTTCGCACTCCTTGATGGGCAGCGAGAAGAGGTAGATCTCCTCAAGCGAGCCGATCTTGCCCTCCTTTACCAGACGTCCGAGCTTAGTGACAGGCACCCACTCCTTGGACTCCTCACGGCCACGGCCACGACCACGGCCGCGACCACGTCCACCGCGGCCACCACGGCCACGGCCAAATCCGCCACGTTCTCCAGCGGGGGCAGGTGCAGGTGCAGCGTCAGCCATTGTTCTTCAGTAAGTTCTCTGCTTCTTTGGGGCGAAATGAACGAATAGCTCCACAATTGCGACGGCTCCTTTGCGTGATTGCCTCTCCTCCAGTCACTACGGAAGGTAACGCGAAGGTTGCAAATGATTGTAAGGTAGCACGAACTAAAGTTGCTGTAAGGTCGCACGAGAGTTAAACCAACATTCCTTCCTTGGACAGATACCGTCATTTCCTTTGAAACTCTATTCTTCTTAGACGTCATAGAATATTTACGCGCTTGTTAGTGCTGAAGTGGCAAAATTACATCTGTAATCGCATAGCCTTGGATATATTGTTCTCACATGCTGTCCTTAAAGCTAAAACTTCTGGAAGGTTTCGCTCTGTACATGTTGACTGGGCAACAACGTGAGGCTCGCAAAGGGGGAAGCGCTTTAGTTTCGTTGACTCGAAGCAAACATGATGTTGTCTGCGACGTCGACGCAGCGCTTGCGCCGCGAGGCCGCCTCGGTGCGGCGTGATCCTCGCAATGCGCGGCATCTGCACTTGCTGCAGCAGGTTGGTCGCCATCTTCCCAACTCAGGCCAAGATTTGCCGATCTAAGTGAATTGTACTATTCTGTGGTATCTACAGCAACTGGGAAGCTCGCTGCAGCGCAACGGAATGCGCGGTGTGCTTCGTGGTGCCCAGCAGAACCCGGCGGTGATGCGTCATGTACTGCAGTCCACGCGTCCGCACACGTTCCGTACGTAGTAAAACCTTGCGCTAATAATATTGTAATTGCCTCTAAATCTTTTTATTTAATTTTTATCGTAGTGCGAAGGTCAAACGCGAATAAACCCTTGAGTTGGGCAACTTGGCTGCAGGAGAACATCCCTAAAGGTTTTGGTCGTTTCTATCCGAAGAACGGAGCTAGTGGTGCTGGCAAAGCCAGTGGGCCGCCCAAAACTGCCCCAAAAACAGGTGAAAAGGGGGCTGGAGACGTCAAGAAATTAAGTTCCAAGACAGCGGAGAAAAAAGCTGGAGGCAGCGGTGGTTCGGGAGGAAGTGGAGGCCCAAGTGGCAAGGACGGCATGGCATATCTGGTGCCACTGGCAGTAGCTGCCCTGTTCCTGTCGGACATGGCGTCGATCGACAAGCCCATGCAGGAAATTACGTACCAAGAGTTCCGTAACACTTTCTTGGAGTCAGGACGTGTGGAGAAGCTCGTGGTGGTCAATAAGAAATACGTCAAGGTGTTTCTAAATGACATGACTGGAGCTACACAGCCAGTGGGAGCGAGCTCGACGCACGGCTCTGCCAGTAACTTTTCGGACTGGCAGGAGCCTCACGGTAAGGTACAACACGAGCATGACTTTACAGAGTCAGATCGTCAACCTAGCGGTGGTCGAGGAGTGACTTTGCCTGGCTTGGGGTCACGTGGTGGCTCCACTGGACGCCCGATCAACAGTCCGACGTACTACTTTAACATTGGCAGTGTGGAGGGCTTTGAGCGTCAGATTGAGCACGCACAGCACCAGATGGGCATCCGTCCCCACGACTACATCCCCGTGCAGTACAGCAGCGAGATCAGCTTCACGTCGGAGCTGATGAAGTTCCTGCCGACTATGGTGTTGATTGGCTTCCTGCTCATGTCGATGCGTGGCATGGGCGGTGGTGCTGGTGGCGGTGGCGGCGGTATCGGCAACATCTTCAAGGTCGGCAAGAGTCCAGCCAAGAAGATCACCAAGGAGGACATCAAGATCTCGTTTAAGGACGTGGCTGGTGTGGATGAAGCCAAGAAGGAGATCATGGAGTTCGTGGACTTCCTACGTAACCAGAAGCGCTTCACGGATCTGGGAGCCAAGATCCCTAAGGGCGCTCTGCTTGTCGGCCCGCCTGGTACGGGTAAGACGCTGCTGGCTAAGGCTACGGCTGGCGAAGCGAGCGTGCCGTTCTTCAGTATCTCCGGCTCGGATTTCATCGAAATGTTCGTCGGTGTGGGTCCGTCTCGTGTGCGTGATCTGTTCAAGGAAGCTCGAGCCAACGCTCCGTGCATCGTCTTTATCGATGAGATCGACGCCGTCGCGCGTGCTCGAAGCAAAGGAAACTTCTCAGGTGGCAACGATGAGCGTGAGAACACACTGAACCAGCTGCTGGTCGAGATGGATGGCTTCAACTCGAGTGAGGGCGTTGTGGTGCTCGCTGGTACCAACCGCGCAGATATTCTAGACAAGGCCATCTTGCGTCCTGGTCGATTCGACCGACAGATCACTGTGGATGTCCCGGATATCAAGGGCCGTCGCGAGATCTTCAAGGTGCATCTGCAGGGCTTGACGCTGGATGGCAAGGTGGACGACTTCGCGCGTCGGATGGCTGCACTGACGCCTGGTTTTGCTGGTGCTGAGATCGCGAATATCTGTAACGAGGCCGCTATTGTGGCTGCACGACGAAATGGCACCAAGATCTCGTTCAAGGACTTCGAGCAGGCTACAGACCGTGTGATCGGCGGACTCGAGACGAACCGCATCATGTCTCCTGAGGAGAAGAAGACGGTGGCGTATCACGAGGCCGGACACGCTGTGGCTGGCTGGTTCTTGGAGCACGCTGACCCGTTGCTGAAGGTGACGATTGTGCCGCGGGGTAAAGGATCGCTTGGCTACGCCCAGTACCTCCCGAAGGAAGTGGCTCTACACAGTCGTGAGGCTCTGACGGACATGATGTGCATGGCTCTCGGTGGTCGTGCGTCGGAGTTCGTGAACTTCGATGGTCGTATCACAACCGGCGCGTCCGATGATCTGCGTCGTGTGACTCAGATCGCTTACTCGATGGTGCAGTTATACGGTATGAATGATCGTGTGGGACAGCTCTCGTTCCCTAGAGAGGAAGGAGGGTATCCGGACAAGCTATACAGTGACAAGACGTCCGAGGTCATGGACGAGGAAGTGCAGAAGATCGTACACAACGCGTACGAACGCACCAAGGAGTTGTTGATGGAGAGGCAGACGCAACTGCATGAACTGGCCGAGGAATTGCTGCAGAACGAGACCATCAACCACGGAGACATTGTGCGCGTGCTGGGTCCTCGTCCGTTTGGCGGCAACAAGACGTACACGGAGTTCGTGGAGGAGTCCTGGAAGGACGCTGATCAGTATGAAGCAGACAAGGCCAAGGCAGCACCCGAAGCTACACCCGAAGCGAAGGATAGTGACACGGAGTCCAGTGAGGATGAAGCTAAGGACGACAAGTAGCCAGCCAGCCGCCTCGACCATAAACGCAGTTTTCTCTGCAGAATAAACGACCAAGAGAGAACTCTGTTGTTGTACACGAATTGATTGCGTTGCTGTCCGCAAGCGCGGCGCCTATATACAGCCATATCCTTACACTAATGAAGGCGTAGTGCGTCCTTGAGCCTCATTTTGGGAAATTCTTATAAAAAAAGAGCACATGCAACGAACGGTCTTGAGTTTCTCCTCTTCTTCTCTTGATCACATGGAGTTGCGGTGCTGCAAGCTGTTTCGGAACGTGAAGGCGCGTTCAAGGTGAGACGAGAGGTTGAGGGTACGGATGACTTCCTTGAGCGGCATGCGCGTCACGTCGATGTCGTTGATGGCGCACAACACGCTGCCTTTCTTGACGAGACTTGAGTTCTCGATGGTACTCTTCCTACCGTCGTACTTACGGACAAATCCGTCCACTACGGGAGCGCCAGAGTCGTCGCGATCCACTTGCAGCACGAGTCCGCACGGTCCGGGCGGCACGATGATTGTGATGAGTGGGTTGGCGCGCTGCTTCCAGTCTTCCTCCGTGACGGACTCGTCGTCGTCGCTCTCTTCATCTGGGAATGCGTACGAGTTCCAGCCGCGCTGTTTCCTTTGCTTGGCTGCGTCCTCGTCGCTACCCGAGTCTCTGCTGCTCTCTGTGGTGGCCAAGCTGCCTAGTGCCAGGCGAGAACTCAGCAGATTAAATTTACTACGAGGACTGAGCGGTGGCTCCTGTAGTTTGGCCCGGAAGGCGTCGGCTAAGGCCCGAGCGTTACCGGCGTATGTGTCGTCGCCTCCTTCTTCACGTGCATCGTCTGACAACGCGTACGTCTCACCGCGACTCAGTAGCAGCGAACTGTGCTCTGGATGCTGGAGATGATGATATTTTGGCGGGAAGGCGCCGTATTTTCCCACGACGGCGGCTACGCGACCGGTTTTCAGACTTCCTAGTCGGTCGTAGCCTAAGCCATTGAGCCCCTGGTCTTCCGGGCCGCCGCACGAGCACAACGCTGCACCCATGACGAAGTCTCTTGTGAAGGATCTCGCTTCGTTTGTGGCGTGAGTCTGCTGAGTTGGCTGGGAATTTATCGCATTGCGAAGAGACGAGACGGGACCATCCATTCATGTGGGCCACATCAGGTGGCATAGCTGCTGCAATTTTAGAACGACAGTTTCGTCGGCGCCGGAATGTCTTTCTTCACTGTGTTCATCGATGGAGTTCAGGTCGAACATGTTCATGCCAGCGAGGAGGCGGCACAAGGCAGTAGATAAAGGTGTTTTGAGCTAGGCAACTTGTGTGTGTGTTGCTGATGTTGGTCTCGTCGGGTTGTCCGCATTAGTGGGCGGAACAATTCAGGAACAAGTCGCAAGCAAATGTGTGATTTGCGCAAGAAGGGACAAGTCTCGCTAAATAATTGCCCTGTGAATAATAATAGCGGCAAAGCTCAGAGTAATATTTAATCAGCTGTTGTATCTTATTTGCGTGTGAAGTTTTATATATCTTCAGGTCGTAGAAGAAATGCGCCAAAACGTTCTTCACCCAGGTCATTCTTATGGCTACACAACCCTTATCGCCACATTGGGAATGGGTGCGCCTCGGTGTTAAACACGATCTCGTCAAGTGACAGAATATCTTCATCCGAGAAGAGCAGGAAGAGATACTTGAGCGTCTCTGCGATGAAGAAGCTCTCCATTGGCCCTGACTTCGTTTTTGGCTGACCGTACCAAACATTCAGAGTGCTGCGGTAGCCTCCGGCTTCAACCTGTGGCAGAAAAAAATGTTAAGGGGGCAACTGCAATCGCTGAGAAGCCCAACTGGAAATTTTTCAGATCACTGACCTTGCTCTGCTTTTCAAATGCGTTCATAATGATACGGCCGTACTCTCTGTAGATTTCGTCGCCTGTGACTCGATACAAGATCATCAAACTCTCCACCGTCTCGGGTCGCAAGAGATTGTAGTCTTGCTGGGGGAGCGCAAATAGTTCTTCCTCGATGTCATTTGGGTCCACTTGAGTAATGAACTGAGTTATATCAGGAGCCAATTGTGACGCCGACTGGAGATACATCTGCATTCAACCTCTAATTAGGTAAAATAATAATATCGAGAAGAAAGAAAAAAAAAACTTGCCTGGACGCAGGTTTCTGTAAGTTCCTTGGCCAGCTCCAGATGTGAAGTCGGCATACCGTGATAGTATCCTAGCGCCAACATTCCTGGCACGAAGCAGGTCAAGTGCTCCATGGCAGGCTCCAGTTCTCCAGTAGCAAGTAATTTGCCGATAAATGCGAAGTTTGATGGATACGAGTAGCCAACCAACTCGACTTCTATCGCCGCCACAGCTGTGACGTACATATCTCGGAGCTTGTTGTCGTGCTTCCCACTGAGCAACCACTGTTTTAAGAGATACTCGTAGTGACTGTCGCCTAAAGCGCCTACAGAGACGACGGACCCTGGCTGTGGCCTAGCAAAACCTTGTTAGTATTAGTACAAAAACTTACTGCGATACTCACAAACACCTCACTTTAAACTCTTCCAATCCATATCCACAGGAATTAACCCGTTGGAATAGCGCGTCTCGACTAAGTTGGCCATCTAAATAATCCCACAAGACACGTCAATTACTTCTTCGTTATCACATTACTGTTATAGAAATTGCTTCATGGATTTACTTACAATGCTGTTGACGTGGTTCACGGGAAGCAGAAACGATTCGTCGTCGGTGGCACGTGCAAGGTACGCAAATTCCAGTTGGAAGCTTCCTGCCTCCGACAACTGCGGCTCTCCGTAGCTATATTGGTCCTACAGCCACTCACCAGTTAGAATTTAATAACTTTATCTCTTCTCATGAAAGCTCCAACTACCTCGAGATCGACAGCTTGACAAGGAACGGAATCTTCACAGGTAAATCCCTTCTGAAGAGCCCGTCCAAGGCTATCCGCAAGGCTTAAAAAGTATTTTTCTTCTGAGAGATAGTACGCTGACAGCAAGCCGCCCAGTGATCGAATCGTAATTTCAAAGAAGCTCACAGTGCTCTTTTGAAACATAATATCGCTTAAATTCGTCTTGATCCATGTACTTGCCTCGTCAAATTCCTCGTGCAACCCCATTATAAAGAGCGTATCAAGCGAATCCACCGCCGTGAGAGCCATATCGTGACCGTAAACAGTTCCACCTTCGAGCTTCGGCATGCTGAGATAGTCACTCCAGCCTGCAAACTTCCGGTAACCACGCCAAGCATGACGCGTCATGTTCACCACCTTCTGCTGATCTTCATTGAAGCTCTGGCTGCGTTTCTTGTAGAGCTCTCGTAGACTCATGTCCACTCTGTCGCGGCGTGCCCGAAAGAACTGGCGATATCCCCGCCTCTCAGTCATCGCAGGTAGGTAGATCAAGTGCGCATACGTCAGCAGAACGAGGCTCAAAACTGCCATAGCTGCCACCATCGACCATAGCAGCTTCTGCCTTGCTCCACGCTTTGTGGCAATTCCCAAGACATGCTTCATCGCCACGAAGCTAGATTAATAATGAAGATTTATGCTGGAAGGTCGCTGACAACTTGCAAAAATGAATCATCAGTATCATTTCAAATGATACCACGTTACACCTGCAGTAATATTTCTTCTATTTTTTTTGCTGAATTTTATAAGTAGGCGATGACCATCACTCTGACAGCTTCAACTTGCGGTTCTAATTCTAGTCGTACTATTTTCTACATCGTGCCATGCTCTTGTTCCTTCGGAAGCCCTTTATCCGATGACGTCTGTGCGTGAAGGACCAGTCGATGGTGCACCATCCGCACGTGTGCGTGATCTGCACCGCAAACTACTGGAGCGAGTGCTTCTCCGCAGCGACACGCAGAGCGTCAAGGACGTCTTCCGACGCTACGATCGGGAGCGAGCGGGGGTGCTAACGCTGCAGCAATTTCGAGCCCTACTACGTGATCACGATTTTCTGGACACTGATGCGGATTTGCTACTGCGTCATCTGGGCACTAAAGACCAGAGTGTGTCGTTCCATGCCTTCATGGGCGACACACAGCTCGGAACAGAGCAGAATTATCCGCCTAAAAACATTAACGCCAGCAATTCTCCCAAGAAGGTCCAGCAGCTCTCGCAATTGCCAGAACAGAAGAAGAATGCGAATAGAAAACCCAAAGGGACAGTGAGTAAGGCCGGTAAACAAGCTGTTGAACTAGTGCAGGACCCAATGGAAGCCATCCGCACTAAACTGCGTCAACGCGTCATGGGCCATAGTAAATCTATCCGAGAAGTATTCATGGAGTATGACACTGACGGTAGTGGGTTCCTCGACTACGAGGAGTTCGGTCGCTTCATGGCAAAGTACGAATTTGCACCTGAGGAGACACAAACCATCGTCGACTATCTCGATCGAGATCGCTCTGGGACAGTCGACTACGACGAATTCGCAGCAGGATTACTATTCTGCCGACCGCCTATACAGGTCCCTGTTGCCTCTGCACACGCCCAAGCGGCCTCGAAAGCAGATGATAAAGTGTCAGCGCAGAGGACGAAACCTCAAGTAGCATCAACTCAACCTGCGCGAACTACTAAAACATCAAAAGAGACAGGCTATCAGCAAGTACTGGATTCAATACGAAGTCGATTTGGTGAAACGCTGAAGAAATCGAAGCAACTACGCGATATTAGGGCAGAGTTTGGTCGGTATGACGTGGATGGTAACAATTGTCTGGATCACCAAGAGTTTGGAGCGCTTTTAGTTGGCCTCGGCGTCAAGTTAAAAGCGGCTGAACTTCGGGCGGTACTGCAGGAAATCGACCCTGACGAGGATGAAAGAATCGACTTCCAGACGATCACCAAGCTACTAAACGCTCAAGAAACACTACCAGCAAACACCAAACGTATAAACAAGGAACAGCAGCAGCATAAAGCGTCTGTAAAACCAGATGATGAGGCTCTCGTGACATTTAGAAAATTCGATCGTGATGGCAGCGGAAAGCTCGAGTATGAAGCGTTCCGACGCCTAATGCATGGTCACGGAGTAACAGACGACAGCGAGATTGACGCTATGATCGATCAAGTCGATGTAGACGGCAGCGGCTCTATCAGTTATACTGAATTTGTGCGAGTATTTCCTCACCGGATACAGCACTCTTCGAGAGATACTTTGAAAATGGGTAACGATATTAACGCTAAGTTCGAGCAAGTTGACCGCGACGGAAGCGGCCAACTTGGCTACGCGGACTTTCGAAGGTTAATGCAGCACTATGGCGTGAAGGATAATGCCGAAATCGACGCACTAATTGATGAGATCGATGCGGACGGAAGCGGGTTTATCAGTCTTCAAGCATTTACACACGCCTTTGACCGAAGGGTACAGCCTTCTCCGAAAAAAGACAGTGAGGTATTAGCCAATCTTAGGATATCTGACCGTGACGAAAGGGGAGAACGAAAGCACGACGGGATTCCACGTATAATGCACAAGTCCGGGGTAAGTGACAAGGATCCAAGTGGCACGTTGGCTGACGAAATCGATACACACGATCAAAATCTAAAGCCTACAGTGAGGAGCACTCGACAACACCTAGATTGTGTTTCTGAAGCTAAAAGCAGCGAGATACGATTAGAAAAGAAAGCGTCTCAAGCGGAGGATGAGCACAATACCAGGTCGAGACTAGTAGCGCTTCAGGAACAAGAACTGCAGTTCATGGAGCGCGTACTTCGCAGACATAATTCGATTGAGAATGGTTTCCGGCATTTTGATCGCGAAGGTCGAAACGAAATGGATTCTGAGCAATTCCGCGATTTCATGGGCCAGTACGGAATTACGGAGGAAGCCAGTATCTCGATGCTGCTCAAGCGGTTGGACGCTGATAATTCAGGTACCATTGATCTCCACGAGTTCTTGTCAGTGTTCAACGCCCAACGTCTCGCGCGTCATAAAGGAGGCACTACAAGACCTGCTGTCCGTGATGATAAATATCTGAATACTGCAGCAAAAAGCGTTGCACATGGTGATAAACGGCAAAATGGTGTCGCGAATAGCGATGGTCATCGTGTTGTTAGGCGAGGCGTCAAAGCTGAAGTTGCCAGTGTCTCGACCGGAGCACAGGATACTAAAAGTGGGAATAGTTCTGGAAATGGGAATAGAGCGGGGAATGCCGCTCGATTGCGAGAACTTGAAGAGAAATGGATTCGTGGAGCTCTGACTGGCCATGACTCATTGCGGCTAGCGTTTGCAAGTGTCGACCGTGACCAGGATGGTGAAATTAGTGGCGACGAGTTCCGTAGCCTCATGAATCTACACGGAATCTGCGATGAACAAGACGTTGCCTCGTTGATGAAGAAGCTAGATGTCGATGGAAATGGCTGCATCGGATACGAAGAATTCGAGAGCATTTTCCACGAGACTCGAGTGAGCAAATCCCCACAAATCTCGGTTGCCAAGCCAGCTGTCGCTGTCGCTCCAGTTGAGTCAAAGAATGCTCGAGGTGCACGCATGCGAGACCTGCAGATCAAGTGGATGAAGCGCGTATTGAGCTGTCACGATTCAATCGAGACTGCGTTTTACCAGTACGACGAGGACGGCAACGGTGAGCTGGATCACGACGAGTTTCGCCACTTTATGAAGAGATACGGTATCGTGAAAAACGACGATATCGAGACGTTAATCAAACGTCTCGATACCGACGGATCAGGGACGATCTCGTTTGAAGCGTTTTCTGTAATTTTCAATCCTCTGCGACTCAATCCAGCTCTACACTAAGGATCAGTGCGATGGCGGCTGCTGCGAACGAGGAAATCTTCGATCCAGAATAACTGGAATCCATTCTAGAGATCGAACGCGAGCTGGCGCAGCGTATGGCGCATCAAACTCGTGATCTGCGTCTTGCATTCCGCAAATTTGACACCAATGGCAACGGTCTGCTAGAATATAAGGAGTTCCGGAGCGTCTTGAAGTCGTATCGGCTGCCTGAAATGGAGATCCGCAAGGTCATTCGTCACCTGGATCGTGACGTATCAGGGTTCATCGACTATAAGGAATTCATCGCGGGGTTTGGTGCCCTCAAAGAAAGCGCAGCAGCTGCGCCTGTAACTCAGAAAAAGGTTGAGAAGCGTGTGTCGCCTGGAAAGGGTAAAGCGAAGACGAAGGTTCACGTTCGTCGCTCGCCCTCCAAACCGCAGCGCTTAAAGCCTGTGTCACCAGAAACGCTGAAGAAGACGATGCTCGAGAGGATACTCGCGATTCACGGGACTGTCCAAGGCGCGTTCCGTGAGTATGACCTCGACAAAGAAGGCAGTCTCAACGAGGCCCAATTCGGGAAATTGGTGCTGGATTGCGAGTTTTCGAGAGATGAAGCAGCTCTTCTTCTTGATATTTTTGATCAAGATCAGTCAGGAACAGTAGAGTACCAGGAATTCTTAGCCCAGCTCGTCGTGAAAGGAGTTCAATAGAGAAATACAGGCTTGAAGTCAAGTACAAGTCCAGTGGGGTAAGATCAACGATGTTCCATTCAAATTGCCCTTAGCTAAGGTTTGATGTGACGTTTTGTAAGTGACACTTCAACTTGGGACGGTTTTGATCTGGACACAGAAGATCCAATTGTTACGAAAGGTTGCATTGATACCCGCAGCCAGCAGTTGCGTAAAGGCGTTAGTGTATCCACGATGGAGACAGGGGATACACCTCGATGGCATCGCAAATGGCTTGCAATGCTAGGGATACTAGGATGGCTGTTCCTCTGTCGCTACCGAGTCATGGGCTACCTGCTCTCCAAAGCTGTCACATTCCAGTTATTAAAATCCCGTTCGCGCAATTCCAAGCCTGCCCCTGTTACAGTTCGAGTGGAACGAGTATCCCTCCAGCCATTATGTTTCTTCAATGTGGAGCTCAGTGGCAGTGGATCCACGTGCTGGCGTGTGATACTCACAAAAGTAGAAGTACAAAGCCACGTGAAGGAATTCTTCGAGTCGTTTGGACTCGTCAAAATTTGTGTTCTGGCGATAGATGAAATTATCGGAGATGTGGATAAAATTGACGACGAAGTGCTGCGAGATGCGTTTTTACCCAAAAAGACAAAAGCGGAGAACGCAGACACGCGACGTGAGTGCAAATCCAGTTGGCGCTTTTTGACTTTTTTTCAAACCTAACTTTGTGTCTTTTGTCTAGCCAAAATGAATCCAATCTGCTATCTGCGTTTTGTGGATCTCAAAGTGCAAAGTATCCGTCTTCGCATTAACTGTATGGGGACGACGACTAAGCTCTTGTGTCAAGGGCTATACGTTGGAATCACCGACGTCTTTGTCCAGCATGACATGCTGCAGCTGAAGGTGCAAACGAAGTCAATGATCGTCCAAAGCTCCAGTCAAAGTGAAGGTGAAGCGGTAAATAACGAGAGTGACGGAAGGGATGGGCTACGTATGGAAATCCCGGACACTAGTGCTGTTTTCGACCTGAATCTGCGGAACCAGCGCTTCCTTGGGTGTAAAATGACTGGGAGTCAAGAGCAGACAACCAATCTCGTCGTGGCGACAGCTTTCATGGAGCGTGTGCTTACGGCAAGAAATGATTTTTTTCGAAAGGAAAAAATTGTTGTCGGTGACACAAAATCGAGTCATTCGGGGGATTCCTCTAGGGTAGCGACGCCATCGGAGGTCGAACTCGACTGCTTTAGCCTCAGCATTACAATCGTGAACGAAGTGGAATCGGGTGGCTTTGTCCCTATACAATTTTGCGCTGATGTCCGAAAGCTAAAGTGCATAAAGCAGATCAAAGATGTGGCTGAAGATGAAGTATCGGACACTCCAGGAGTGCGAGTGCAAGTACACGCTTTATTTCAGAACGCGCGTGTCCACAACTTGGCTTCAAATAAAAAAATGGCATCGGTGTGTTCCATCGAAGTTCGAGCAAATCAAACAGCACGACACCGTGGAGTTCTCGCTGGAGCGTTCGACAAGGTTGAGATTTTCTTAAGCCATCGCTCCGAGAAGATATTCCGCTCGTTGATAGCTGCCCAAGGACGTGTGGAAAAACTTCAGATCGAAGCGAGAAGGATGCTAGAGCCAAATTTGATCGCCAGCGCTAGGAAAGACCGCATTCATTGGAATGTAGAAATTGAAGTTACGTCGTGGATGATGTCATTTAAGGCCTTTGCTAAGGACGGTGGGACAGACGACTTGACGGCGTATGGAATGGCTACATCGGTTCAAACCCCACTAGCTCCCGTCCTGGGGGAAAATGGCTCGTCGTTTATCAAGCGCTCCGTCGTGATTCAACACACTTCTGTTGACGTGACACCGAATGGAAACAATCCACACTCAGCGGTGTTTGGAGGCGCTGAGCTGAGTCTAAGTACTTCACTGAATCCACCCGAAAAGACCAAAACAATTGGGATGTCTGTCAAATTTGAGTTCGTCTCGATCAATGGGTTACTGTCGGATAATAGTGGCAAAGCGAGTCGATTTCCCGCGATATATTTACACGACGTCAGAGTCGATCGCCGAGAAAAAGTATCAACTGACGTCTCGGAAGTGGATCTGGATATTCATATGGAGAACGCAGACGTCAAGTGGCACTACCGTCAACATCAGACCTTCCTCCTTGAATGGGCTGCGACTAAAAACATAATCGATCAGCTGGATTTGTTACTGTCGAGTTCGTCAAAGAAAACTTGGACACCAACCGATCAGGTAGTACCGAAGATATTAAGTACGAACGTTTACTCGAAAGACACCGCGATAGACGTGATCGACATCCCTGGGGTAGCTCTATTGACCACGTTCTGCTTAGTAGAGACCAAGGTGAATCACCGTTCAACGCAGTTATCTGTTACCACGGCAGTTAACTCGACAAACGCGAGTGTACGATGGGGAGAGAGTCCGTCACGAATTAACTTAACCAACGTAACATTCCAGAACCGAAGTAGTCTAGGAAGACAAAGATACCTGACCAAGGTCCCGACTCAAAGTGACATCCGGTGTGCTTCATTGGAAGCGCATCTTCGTCCTCAAAGTCGAATGTTACTTTTGTTCCTGCGTCTCGATCAACTCGTGAGTGGACCATCCAAGACTGATATTGAGAAGCGTTCTTCTGTTCAGGGAATTTCTTTCGTTTGTGGAAAACTTACAATCGAGTTGCAGTCGAAAGATGAGATTGCTAGCGTTGAATTCACTACACTTGGCGTCAAAATGACTCGATGCACTCCACGAGAGATAACCGAGACCATGACGCGAGTGGTGCAGTGCTTGAGGAAGGAAGAGCTTGCTGGACGAGCTTTCACACAAGTGGCACACCAAGTTATGGTCCTCGAAGGAGCAGCTTCTGCTAGTGCCATTACGGCTGCGATTCCGTTGAAAAACCTGGTTGAGTTGCAGCACACAGAGCTGCATTTTGCGATTACAGACGTGGAGTGGAGTCGACTGTTAAACTGGGAAAACGACGCTGTTGTGCCACGTACCACAAGTTTTGACTTGAGTATGTTGACAGAGAGAATTCAGTTGGCGATGGAGAGGAAATTGTTTGAGAATCTGCTCCACTTGATGCCCATTCTTCAAGAAGCTTTCGATACCAAAGAGACGGAAACTAGTGCAAGTAGTCAAGCGGTGGCGGAGCAGCCAAGCTTTCGTCTACGCTTTGTGGGAAACCTCGATATAGCGTTCCAAAATGCCGAGCTAACATGTCCTTATGGTGACAAGGAACAGATCGGAAGTAAAGTTACGCGAGTTCTTCTCGGTGAAGTGGCGTTCAACTTGCGTCAGTTCCAAGTCATAGGGTTCAAATGTTCCCCTCTGCGTGTCATGCTTGAAGACGCAGACTTCATCGAACGCAGCGACACGAGGATTCGTAGCGGTGACGACTCGTTGCAGCTCCTTTTCGTTCCCCAAGTTAGCGTCAACACATTTGTCCACTGGCACCACGGGATCCAACACTCTGGTCAGCTCCAGTTCGCCTTGTCTTTGGAAATCGCTCTCGGACACACGCACTCGTACGATCAGCCCACTCACGTTCCTATTGTGGACGAAGCTCTGGTGTCTTTGAATTGGGATTGTGTGGTCCCGTGGCTCATCTACATGATAACGGACGACAATGGCGAGTACCCCGTTGAAAAGCCCACTAAGGAGACTTCAAATGATGCCAAACACGTACAGTGCGTAGGCGTGCAATGGGATTTATCCGTCAACTCGATCCAGTTCGCTTGGTGGGATACCGCGACGCAGGACATTGGGATGCTGGTCGTCGCCAATGAGTTTCTAACGCATGGCTTACTACGGATGGACAGCTCGGAGTTCGACGATAGGGCATCGGAATGGAAGCTCTGGGAAGCGACGGTATACCTCCATTTGTTCCGAGGATATCTGCTCCATGTCGAGGACGATTTTGTCGCCGGTGAGAAGAGTATCCCTGAGATTCTCCCTTTTGGAGCGGAACTGGCTTCGAACTTCTCGTTAGAAACGGTTGGAACCAGTTATCGCAACTCGTACACACCGGACGATGACGAAGACTGGGAAGCTCTGGATGAAGAAGTGACGCACATGTTCGCTCCGTCAAGCGCCAATATCTTCGAGAAGATGCACGACGAGTTTGTTCCCATAGACTACGAGTTCGGCATCTCGACTCGTCCAAAACCTGGACGACAAGACACGACGGTACGCCTCTCTTTGCTCCATGTCCCGAGCGCATCAGCAGCGCTGTCTCCGCCGAAGTCGCCTCGATCAGCGAAGAACTGGACGCAGAACATTAAAAGCAAATTATCGCGCCTTAATCGCCGATCTGCGTCGATGGACAATCTCTTCCTCAAAGACGGCTCTTGTCCGATCCAAGTTGACGCCATGCGGCTCCTGTGGACGCTTCAAACTCGAGACAGCGTGTTCTACATGGTCTCGACGACGATCGACAGTCTCCGACTGCTCTGGGATGCTCGACGGAATGCTGGGAAGGAAAACGTCGACCGAAATGCTGCCGAACCGAGCTCGCTGTCGCCTTCCAAGCGAGCAAAGCGAAGTAGTTTTCGACCTCCCTCCGTCGTGTCCGATGCCAACGCGAGTGACGCCATCGTGAGGAGTTCAAGATTCGTAAGTCGGCGAGGAAGCACTAGAGATACACTACTCGACTTGCTGCAACAAGGGAAGCTCGGTATGGCCCAGGAAGACCGCGAGTCGTCGTCCAGATCGATTGACGAAGAGACAGAGTCCACTCGTGAGAGTCTTGGTGAAGACCCGAGTGACTATGGCGCTCCGAGCACTGCAATAGCCATGAAAGCGTACACTGTGGACATCCACGACGTGCAGATCAATGTTCGCGAAGAAAACACACGTAGTAATGTGCTGTTGGCATCCAAGCACATCCACTTTGAGATCGGCACGGATGCGAGTGATACCAACACGATTGCGAACGTAACATTCGACAATGTTACTGCACACGTGGCCCCAATCGACGTGGATATTACTGCTGGCGTGTTGTGGTACTCGCACTCGAACACCGGTTCGGGCTCAGCCTTGTTGAAGCAGATAATGGAGGAATGCTCACTCACCAGCTCGTACACGCACACGCAGAGCACGGGCGCCACCAGCACCGAAGTGGATCTGTCGTTCTTGCAGCTCTCCACTGACAGACATCAGTTCTACCAGCTCATGAACGTGATTCGCCATGTGTTGCTAGCGCCCCCGTCAGTAGCCAGACGACCCAAACGCACCTTCACTCCAAGAACATACTCGACCGAGTCCCCGCGACTGGAGACCAGCGATATCGCGGTGTTCACTCCGCCAACCACGACCAACACACTGGCAGCATCGACGTCTGCCAAGAAACTCCACGTGTTGCTGGAAGAAGAGCTGCGGAACCGAGAGATCCGTACGAGAGGGACGTCGTCGCGCATCAAAGCGACAGCTCTCAAGGCCATCTCGTCCAAAGTCGTGGGGATGCAATGGAAACTGCGGCTAAGTCCCGAGATTACTGGCGCTGACCACGAGTTCGTCGGCATCCGCATCACCGGGTTTACAGGCTGCCATACGTACTTCACCAACCACTGTACGAAGCTCACGTTGAACCTCCAATGGCTGGAGATAAATAACTTGCATCCAGGTCCGTCGTCCGCTGCTTTCGAGGACTCGACTGCAGTGTTGAAAGCGAAACTTCTGGTCGATAAACGGCTCGAGAGCAGCACTACAGGTAACCAGAAGGGGATGCTCGTGGTTCGTGCGGAGAGCGGCCCCATCGTCCGTGTGCACGGCCAGAAGCTGCGTGTCCTGGAAGTTCTGGAGGTCAGTATGTTCCCCGAAGTGTCCAACATGATTGTCATCCAGCTCGCAGCCGATTTCTACGAGCTTATCTACAAATTCTTCTTCGAGAACATCTCGCCAACGCCGCAGAACTCGGAGCAAGTGTTTCTAGGTCGGAAATCGACCTTCGGGCCCGTGTTGCCCACAGTATCGGGCAGTGCTCCGTCGCTGGGTCCGAAAGGAGGCAGCTCTCCCTTCATGAAGTCGCGGGTGTCGCAAACTTCGCCCTCGCCACAGAGCTCGCTGCTCCCGCTACGCAAGAGCAACTCGGCGAACAGTATGCTGGCGGAATCCACCAATACCGGTGGGCCCAACTCGCCGAATTCCGTCTTCAGCACCGAAGAAATTCCCGATGACAGCGACTCGACCGCCACGGACGACTGCGAGTTGTTTTACGTCAAATACGTGCGCGTGGGGAACGTCCGTCTGCGCATCAACTGCAACGGCTTCTTCGTCAACTTGAGCCACTTCGACTTGGATCTCCCGCCGTATCTGTGTCAGAGCAAACTCTGCACGAGTAAGAAGCTGCTCCAGAAGTTCGAGTCACATCTGAAATGGTACATCACAAAGGAGAGCGCGTCGTCCGGACTCTCGCAATTCAAGAACAAAATCCTCAAATGGACACCGTCGTCGTCGTCTGCAGATGGCAAGAAAGACAAAAGTAAGAAGCAAGAGGAAGACACGGCAGCGGCGAACGCGCAGGTCTTGTTCGGGCCGTACTCCGGGACGTCAACATAATGCCAACTTGCTGTATTTTCTGACTGCCATGTCGTCGTACCAATGCGACGAAATACAGCCGCGAGCACTGAAATTCTTACAAAATGCACTCGATGCACTCTTTAATGCGGCGGAGGAAGTTGAAAGCACCTGTGTCGCGAGGCTAGCAGGTAGAACATACACGTCCGATTCAGCGCATACCCCGACGCATAGCTTCTAATTAAAATACCTCAGTGAAGCCGCTGTCTTTGCGTGTCTGCATGACTTCGATAAACTCCTTGGTGGACAAATGTCCGTCACCTAATCGTCATGCCAGACGCTTATCAGTTTAATCTTAGAAAAAAGTCAAGGACCAATACTCACCGTCAAGGTCGAAGAGTGCGAAGAGAATGTCGATCTGTAGAGCAGTAACCGGCTTGGTGTTCTTGCTTGCACGCACTGCCGCTCTCGTGGCCCGCTGGAATTGCTCTACATTGGATCAAATGGTGAGGATGCTGACCAAACACCCACATACAAACAGCGGGAGTGTCGAAACTTACCTTTGTCCACTCCGTGAGCTTGCATGACGAGATCCATCGCCACCTTGAGCTCGTCCAGATGTTCGAGGAACACGTTGAAATCCATGAACTCTTGCTCCGTGATGTGGCCCTGCATTCAGCAGCAGTAGTTAGATCAGGCTTGAGCATGCATGTCCTTATGAACTCGACAGTGTAACGAACGCTTAGATGCTGCAGCTTGTCCACACGCTCAACCCACTGCTCGATGTGACGCTGTAAAACATTCTCCACAGTTAGTGTTGCAGTCAATCTCAGCGTCTCGGTGGTAAACTACATCCAACCTGGTCGACGTGCGAGACCAAGAACATGCCGAACTCTCGAGGTGACAGCGTCCTGTCTCCGTCAACATCATACTGCTCGAAGTAATCCGTCGTCAAGGAGAAACATCGAAATAGATATTGTAATATAAACCCCCATCAAGCAGCAGACAACGTAAGGTGGAAAGGATATCTGAATGCGCATGATCTCCTGCTTCAGCTCCCGACGGAATGCACAGAAGTCGTCGTAGGACAGGGACCTCGTGGCCAGCTCCCCGAACAAGTGCTTGAAGATCGGCACATCGTCGTCATGCAGTGATCGATCCTGACGACCCGCGGGCGTACGCAACCGCATCAGCTCCATGATCTAAAAAACAGCGAAAAAAATAAATTACCGAGTTTCTTTGCACGTTGTATAATATAGCACCGTCCCACCTGTTTAAATTCCCGGTGATCCAGCTCGCCATTGTCGTCTGCATCGAACATCTTGAACGCCAATTCGAATTGTCGCTCGGGAACTAGGCAAAAAAAATGTAAAAAAAACAAAATTCTGAAAAATAAAATAAATAACTTACTGGCAAGGAGCGTTCTGAAGAACATGTACTCTGGGTAATTGATGAGGCCATCTCCGTCCGCGTCCACCAAGTCGAAGAAAGTTTTGGGGCGTTGTGGGCCTCCGTGCATGACCACGAACTGGTCGAACTCTGCGTTGGTCACTTGTAAGGCCTTGAGCGTCTTCGTGTGCGTCTCGAAGTCCACGTGCTGCTCTTCCCTGAACGCCAATAGCTCTTCAATGTCTTTTTTGGACACATTCGCATTGTCAATTAGGAGTTTCTGCACACGTCGCAGATACTCGTCCGCCACGTCCTTAGAGATCTTGTCGCTGCTTGCTTTGGCATTGAATTTCGGGTTCTTGGAGGCGATGGGGGCTCCGTGACGGTAAGTGTAGGGCGTCACGGCTCGAGCCAGATCGTCTCTGGTCATGAAGTACTCTTTCTCGATCTCCACGCTTGAAAAATACTCGAAAACGCGCTCTGGGGAGCTGAATTTACGCAAGCGGTTCTCATAGTTGCCCACGGTCCGCTCTGTGAAGGTTGGTTTGTCGAATTGGGCAGACTCTAAGCGTGTGGGAGGGGTAGAGGACACGACGGAGACGCTACTGGCAACTGCTAATGCCGCCGCCGCTGGCGACGAGCGTAGAGAGCGAAGCAACAAGCGCGACATGGCACGAGGGGGTGCACTTGCTTCAAGACAATTGATCGACTAATCGCAGATTATTGTGATTGTAAAATAAAGTGCAATGCAAATTTTAAATTTACAACTCTGTAGTACAGTACATAAGTAGTATACTGTGTCGGAACCACCAGATTTTTTCCTACATGTACATGTACCAGCAATAATTAATACTACGTAGTACTACGCTCTGCAATATAGTACTATAGTACTACGTTCTTAGTAGTAGTTTCAAAACATGAGGTACTACACAACCTGTCTTAGATTGATATTTTACTGTTGTACTACTTCTTGTAGAGCACGGTATTACTTCGTACCACGTAATAATATGAGAAACATAAAAATGCTGATGAAATGTCATCGTGTTTTATGGTGAGCTGAGCTCTTAAGGTATGGTCTGCTAAATAAGTTTGCTATGGGTGGTGCACTTCTTTCTCGGCGCGAAAAATATCATTTCGAGGCGATACCAGGATAGGGCCCTTGTGGGTACTGGATCAGTTGACACACTGAGCACTTCAGTCAACATCCATGTCCACCGGCTCGTCGTTATCTTCTGGGAGCTCTTCGAATCGCACAAAGTGCTCGTCCTCGCTCTCCGAGGCGTCGGTTTCTGTTTGCTTGTCGTCTTCCACGAGCTCGACTCGCGGGGAACGAGCCGAGGGCATTGACTGGTACGGATTAAACACAACCATGGCGCGACAAGAAGCGTCACCTGGGATCTCAATGGGCCGCTCGGCAGCCATGTAGTCGTCGTGTCGCATTGTCTTCCACGGGAAATCTGCCTCTGCTGCTGGTGCTGAGAACACTAGCGGTCTCTTTTTGCCAGCTTCGGGGGCTGCTGGGACGATAGCCCTGTTGGTCCGCCAGGTGGTTCGTGGGGTCGAGGCCTCCTCGTCAGTCATATCCGAGTCCACTTCCTTCTTGGGCGAGTCCGTAGGTGACGAGACCCGCATCCGTTTAAAACCGTCCATTACCGCACTGCGTTCGTGTCGCCGCCACGGGTATTGTTGCGCATCTTCATCGGTGTCGCTGTCTTGGTCGCGGGACCGCTTCAAAGGGGTGCCCATGATGCCGCGGGCGCGTCCAAAGCTGCGTTGGCGCAAAGCGTTTTGACTGCGCTCGAAGAGATAACCGGCCTGGCTGTTGAGGCCGCACACGCCTCCGCTGTTGAAGGATCGCATTGTGTCGTGGGTTCTGCTTCTTGGTCGCACGTAGACAATTGAATTGTGGCAGCCACTCCCGCCAGCCAGTAAACTTTGTTCCTTTTTGTTTCAAGCGTCGTTGTATTGGTAGCAGCACATCAAAAGGAGGGGCGACGTGACTTTTATTGTGATAAGTACAGCATGAAGCGGTATAATCAGAATGGTAATCTCTCCTCCTGTCTCGAAAAGTGGCGTTTTTCTGCGAGTGTCTCGAATTCTTCTCGAACAATCGAACTATTTCTAAACGGACAGGAGAGCTCTCTTGTAGAGAGACTCTCGAATCGAACCTCCTCGAAAAGCTTCAATCATGGCGCAACCTCTTGCAGCTCCAGCGTCCGCTCTGGCGCCGTGGCGCGAGCGTCTCGTGGCCTCTAAAGTGTTCATGCGCTATGACTACGCGTGGTACGTGTCTTCTCTCGCTAATCACGCAACTTGCAATACAGTTACACCAATCTAACCTATTTAAAACTTACAGGAAAGAGGCCGAGCTCCAGCGGGCTGAACACCGAATCACCGGTATCGCCTGCCGGCTTTTGTACCTCCACGCCTCGTGGGTGGAGACGTACAACCACACAACATCATCCAGTTCCTCTCATCCACGTACTAAGGTTTACATCGAGGACAATGGTTTCCCAGAGTTCCAGGAGCGAGTATCGAAAGCCTGTGAGCTCATGGGCTACGACATTGTGTCCGATTCATTGACTGCACACTTGGTGTTTCTATACGTGGCTCCTCCCGGCGAGCGACGCAGTGACGACAGTCAATACAAGACCTTTCAGGCGGTAGTGGAGCACTCAAAGGCTCTTCCGGACAACGAGAAGCCCATGTTCTGCGTCTTACTGGGGGACGCTGATTTCTTACCCCTCCCTAAGACGGAGGAGGATGAGAACCTGCGCAGTCTTAGTGACTTTGCCATCTCCCAGGAGTTCGCTCCTATTGCTAGCGAGGCGGACTATGGGTCGGTGGCTCAGTTCGCTGTAGAGTTTGTCCCTGCTAGCCACGAGAGTTTGAGCAACGAGTTTAAAGAGGACAAGACGAGGAAACTGGACTCGTTGATGAGCAGGTTTGGGTGTGTTGGCCAGAACCTCATGCATCATACCGAGAAGTGGGACTTCTATGCCCCCTGTGAGAGCGTCTTTTGCCATGGCGAAGACGATCCGAACGGAGTGACCCACCCTAGCGAAGAGGACACGATGTTTTGGTTCAAAGAGACTAAGGGTAAGACGTGCGACCAATGCCATGCTCCAAGTGACAAGTTGTCGAAGTGTGCGCGGTGTCGGGATGCAGTATACTGCTCGCGGGATTGCCAGAAGGAGGCCTGGAAGTTGCATAAACGACTGTGTGGAAAGACCACCGAGGAAATTACTGCATCCGATGATGAAGTGAAAAAATAATAGAAATAAAACACGCCTTACTACGATAGTGCATTTCGGTATCAACGGTACGTCGAAGTAGCGTTCATCAAGAGCCGCTTCTTACCCACAGTCGGCCTCGTTTTCCTGACATTCAAATTGAAACTAAACGCAACTGCTCGAATCCGAACGTTTGTCGACACTTGCGTTGAGCAAAACGCTGGTAACCAGCGGCTGGTTCCACGCCATTCAAACGGAATGACTTTTCAGTTACTGGAAAGATGAAATCGTCAATCACATTAAAAGGAACTGCAAAACAGACCTCCACTTTGTGCAGCCAGATCGTCGATGACGTTGTAGTGAAACGAGACAACAAGTCCTTAAAATCGTCGATCTTTAACGAATATTTTTTTGCAGCACGCCCCACCAGAACAAAGCGAGCGAACATTTTCATGGAAAACCCTGCCTTTCCTGACCTCGATATCCGCATTATTCAGCTCCAATAACTCAACAAATACAGCGTCGTAGCCACCTTGACTCCATCTAGTGGGGACCAGCCATTTCTTGGACAGACTTAGACAAACAAAATCTTTTGGATCGACACGCAGCACCTATTTTGCTGTCCATACCTCGTCCTCGCAAAGTTTCTCATTTTGGATGTTATAGCAGTGAACGCCTCCATTGGCAAGCGAAGAGTAGAACGACATCTCAAATAGATAGCCATCCATTATAGAGTTCTTCGCAAGAACCTTCATAAGGGCTTGTAGTTTGTTCGGGGCAATACGCAGCGCAATTTCTCTTGCCGCGAACGAACTTACGATACAAGGTACTAATAGTGACGAAGCATTCCGGCTGTCCGGATACCGAGAAAATAAATTGTGTATCACAGCAGCTGAATTGATCGAACTGGTCCATCAAGACATTGGACGATGCCAGAGGTCCCTGAGCGCAACAACTTCATCGCGAGCTCAGCACCGACGTCAAACATCATTCTCGCATTTCCGCCGGCAATAAAAAACTTCTCATCTACATTTTGTCACTTTGATTTTACCTGTCGCCATTTTGAAGTTGAAAAGGTGTAGCACTTCCATCCGCTTGTTTAATGAAATCGATCTTTCAGCAGTGAACATCGTCTTCACAAGCTTAAAGAATTCGTCGTTTTTCATTGCCTCTCCATAGTCGCTCAGCGTCCATGATGATAACCTAAATAATTGTTCATCTATATGTAGTACACCCCGCTCCGAGATATCCAGAATAGTTGGCTTTGCGGATGGAGAATTTCTCCATACAGGGATGCCGAAAGATAAATTGGTGCTGCAATTATTGCAATAAGAAAGCACCAATTATCTATTGGAGGCTTTCTAAAGAGGAATTCATATTATTTATTTTTGCTTCGTTGTAGCACCAATAATCTATTGGGCGGTGTTCAACATTCTTTAGTACTTGTGCCCTCGCTGTGTACCAATTTTGCTGCACCAATAATCTATTTTCTGAGTTGAGGAAGCTCAATAATCTATTTTGGTCTTGCCAGTTCTCTTACCCAGTTAATTATTTTCTGCTTTGATTAGCAATAGATAAAAATGCAATATTCGGCATCCCTGTGGAGAAACGGCCATGCTATCCAAACTGGTCATCTCGGTGGGCGGGATGGAATTATAGCGCTCGGGACGCCAATCCTCCCCAAGCGATACCATCGAGCAAACAATCACGACACGCCGGTACTTTGGGTTCTGGAGGCGCCAAAACGCGCAGGATTCCAAGGTAATATCGGGAATCTCCTTCTTTACGGTACCCATCGAGAAATACAACAGTATAATCACCAGGGAACCCGAAAATGCAATACTTAGATTAATACATCGATGTGAGCTGAGCAAAATCAATAATTCAATTATTTGCATTACTCCGGCCCATGCTCGAGCGTACCTTGTCCACCGCACTCATGTCCCACAAGTCACGATTGTAGTTCAGAAACATTACGTCTCGGAGACATTCGCTTTCGTAGATCAGACAGCATCAGCTTAGCGAATGAAGCGCTCACACTTGTTAGACTTTGGCGGGATGTACGCGACGTCGACGTAGTGCGCAATTGCGTTTCTTGAGCGCCACTCTCACAATAGAACACTCCTCGGCGGCTCTTGAAGACGACCGTTCGAGATCAGGCGACCTAAATTGTGACGGGGTCACACAGCACCTTGCGCAAGAGGAAGTTATCTTCCGAGAGTATACAAACTCTCAGTGAACGGCAGTTCACAGGTCCCCTCTTTTATTAAAGAGAGCGAAGTGACCCAAATAAGGTAGATTGTAAACTGAGTATATTTATAGGTAGATTAAGTTTGGGTTTAATACAAACTGTTAATTACCTATAGAAATGCAATGTCATTTAACCAATGGTTGGCTTTGAACGACCTTGGTACCTTGTACCAAATATCTCGGAGTATGACGTGTCATACTCCTGAAGTGTGAAGTGTTACACTTCATGCAACCAGGGTACACTTAGGGCTACGTACCCCGCTACATCCTCCCCCACTTAGGTTCGGTTTACCGACCAATCTGAATGAAGAGGTGTTCATCACAAACTCTCATTCTCAAAGTCGAAAACCATCGACTTGGCCGCGCGAGCGCGGCGGAGGCTCACTTCACAGTTAGAGCCTCGAGCAGCAACCTGTGCGCTCTTCGTCTAGGTCTCCACTTCGACCGTAAGCATGCCTCGTGGCACTACTAAGAGCGGTGCTAGGACACGCTCCAAGGCTGCAGCCGGTAAGGCGCAGGCCAAGAGCACTAAGCCTCACGGCAAAGGCTCTGCACTCAAGGAGGCTACTCAGGTGGCCTCCGAGGCGATCGGTTCCTCGGGTGACGCGGCTGCGGACAAGCGCGCAAGCAGGCGCCGCAGTCCGTCGCCCTCGTCTTCAGACAGCCGTCCGAACCCTCGGTTCGTAGAACGCGAGTTCAACTCGGGCAGTGAAGACGATGCCGAGTCCGAGAGCACTCAGGATGCTCCTGCGGGCTCTGTGGGAGGACATAGCCCAGTGCCCAGTGAGCACAAAGAAGGCAGCGTGCAGTCGCCCGCTAGTGATCACGGTGATCACCGTCCCAGGACCTCTGTGCGCTCTGAGAGTCCGGCCGTTAAGGCTAAGGGCGCTCCCAAAGCCGGTGGCGATGAGGAAGAGAATCCTCGCAAACGTCTCTCGCTTGCCGAGGGTCTTGCGCGCGCTAAGGCCTCTAAAGCCGAAGGCGCCAAGCCCTCAAAGAAGCGTACCGCCTCTAAGTCTCCACTCCGCGAGGAGAAGGAGACTCGACGCTCCTATCAGAGTCTATTCGGCTCCTCGGATGAAGAGGAGGAGAAGGAGGAAGAAGAGGAGGAGGAGGGTGCTATCGTTGAGCCCCGGGAGGTCTCGAATGACCTCGACCAGCAGCAGAAGGAATTCCAAGCTGCCCAGCGTGTGCGTGGGGGTTCGGTGGCGGCACCCGTCAGCCAGGGAGCTGCCATCAACTCAAGAGGGTATTGGCCTCCCGAGGAGAGCTCTGGGGCTGACCTCTTCTTAGAGCTTCTCGTCGCTCCTCGTGGCCTTGTGGGCGGCCACACTTCTAGGGGCATCTATGAACGAGCCCTTGTTCAGAAAGAACAGTTGTTCGTCGACAACTTGGAGGCTGCTCGGTGTGTGCTTCTCGCGCAACACCGCATTCCCCTTAAGGACTTCACGACTTGTCGTAAGAAGCCCGAGACCCGGGGTGGTCTCTATCCTGTTTGGGGATACCCCTGGATTATGCCCGAGAACTGTCCCACGTGGAGTTCTTGTGAGGACATGTTCTGGGCGTGGGTGGAGACTCTCAAGTACTCGCCCACGGAGTTATGGGAACTCCATGAAGATCAGCAGCTGTCCCACATCCTGGACCAGCGTGATCTTCGTGTGAGGTTTGCCCACTTGATCAGCAAGCGTATGCTGCTAAGGGACATCCTGAAGCGCGCGGCTTCTAGCGCTCACGATGAGCGCGGGTACGGTATGTATTCATCGACCGTACCCCGTTCGGGCAAGAAGCCCCGGACTGCTTATGAAGCTGCCGCCGCTTCTGTTCCCAGATTGCGACAGCCTTCGGGCAGTCAATCAGGAGCCGTTCAATCGGCTCCCACGAGTTCTCGGAGTGAGCATAACCCCTCCACTTCACGAGGAGCTGTCGCTTGCCGCGACACCGTTGCTCCTAGAGGATCCGCTCTACGTGGAAGTGGGCTTCTCCATTCCGGTCAAGCAGGGGCGGAGGTGCCCTCGTACGAGTACGAGTACTCGGCGCCTCCCGAGAGCCACTCTCGTCCGAGTGCTCCGACTGCGGGTCCGACACAGGGCCCTGAGGTTGACCGCCTCTGTCAACGTGTCCTCGTGCTTGAGATTGCACTTGGCCTTGGGACTGGCGGTAATGCTGCCGCCCAGGCCGGGAATCAGGGCGAGCTCGCTCGTCTTGCGGGCCGCCTGGACCTGGTGGAGCGAGAGGTCGCGAGCCTGCACCTGCGGGTGGATCGCCGGGCCTCTTCGTCCGATCTGGACGAGGCCTTTCGCATGATCCGACGGATCGAGGCTTTGTTGCCACGTCTGGAGCCGTCTGCGGCACACTCCCAGACGTACGCGTATGGTGCGTACCCGGCGTACTCAGCGTACTCGGCGTATGGCGCCGGGGTCCGTTCGTATGGAGCCCCTCCGGCGTACGGTCTTGACCGCAGCCTTGCCGTCCCGACCGAGACTTGGGTGCCTGCTCCGACGCCCTCGTCGACGACTGTGACCGGCCCTCGCTTCGAGGAGCTGGGTCAAGGGGGATCTGCGAGTCAGCAACCCCCTGCGGGTCAAAGTACCGCTTAAGACGTCCGACATAGAACGTCGGGTGCGTCGTCATTGACTTTGGAAGGTCGATGGTGTACGACGCACCATGTCTGGCCAGGACTGCAAAAGGTCCGATGAAGCGGTGCTTCAGTTTGTTGCTGCCGACAGAGCTAACAGTGTCTAGAGGTAGGTTCCTCGTGTCTAGCAACACTAAGTCACCAACCTCAAATATACTTCAGTTTCCTCTTCCTT